GCCTGCGCCTAAATTTGGTGCCCCTAACACACACTTCAACGCAAAAACAACTTCAGTTGGAGACAGCTGCATAACAACCGTGAAAAACCCATGTTGCGCCAAGATCTAAGTGATGGTAACTTGGTGGTAGCTTTCTGCAGCCGCGAAATTGATACTATGCCCACAATGACGACTGCGACCTAGTAACAACATGAGGTCGACGACCCTACTGCAGTGAGGCATCCCTGGAAACATATTCTAATTGCCCGTCCAAAAGACACCGTGCCTCCCAGAGAACAAGTAAGACTACAGGAAGAGAAGTGCAGAAGTTCCGCAGGTTAAGACTGTCACCACATGTGAGCACGATGCTCCAGCAAGTGACAGGCACAGACCCACACATATTCTAACTGCTTTTTGATACAGATTCTTTCCAGGCTTTGTAACTATATTCTGACTGCGAGCTCCACATAGCACTCCCACATGTTGAAGTCACAGCCGATCATATGTGACTACCATAATCCCATGGGGGATTGCGTATTACGAAGAAGTCGCTGCCACACGCATTGATGTGGGGGGAAGATGCTTCAGAGGTGTGCAGAAACAATCAAATGAGTTGCAACAGCGCTTCAGACTTGTGGCACGGCAACGCAGCACCGCATTGCCGTGGAGACTCCTCCCTCGACGCCTACTTGGAAGGCAGTGTACTGTTGTTGTCGTTGCCGTTGCCGTTGCCGTTGTTGTTGTTGTTGCTGCTGCTGCTGCTACCTGCTGCTGGGTCTGTGGCTGTTTCTGGTCACTTCTTTTCCCGGTTCACGGTCTTCGGGCCTCGCACGGGGCCTCGTTCATGTCTCCTTCTTCCCACGTCGCTCGTGTCTCCTTCTTCCCACCATCCCACGAAAGAAGTGTGCAGCTGGTTTTGAACTGCAAGGCCTCTCTTCATCTGAGCCCGTCAGATCGCCGAGACAAGGCTTTTCGTGTGAGATTGGCGTGCCCGTCGACGGCCGGCTACAAGCGGCTTGCGTGCCACCCCACGGGGCGGCTGCAAGGCGCTTGCTGGCCAGCTGCAGACCGGCGCCCACTGCTAGCAAGATGACGCGCGCGAACGACGTCGCCTGGAAGACTCACTGCAATGCATACACGTGCTGATGTCCTGACTAGGGTGGTCTTATCCATACATGCCACGCTACACGTGTTACGCTTGATATATACCTCATACCTACATAAACCATCAAGGCCTTTTATTTTTGAATGCCTTTCAAGCCTTCTGCAAACGAGCGCTTCTGTCGTGACTCCTGTCGTCCGAACTGCTCTATATGCCGCCGGCGGTTTCCGTGTTCAAGCCTCGGTGATTGCATTGGGTGCGGTCCCATGGTCAAAACAACGGCCACACTGCACTATGCCACCATGCTGTAGTGCACACCACATATGTCAGCTTTCATTCACGGTCTTGCGGCATTCATTTTCGAGCCATGTCCGGCTGGGAAAACATCTCTGAGTGCACGGATGGGTGGATGATCCGGAAGATCCGGATACATCGCCCGCCACTGGGCCGGACGACGCTGTTGAGATAGACATCCAAACCACAACTCCGTCGGGTCCGTGGACTTTTGCGCCCGTGGCCACTGGATGAGAGCCCTGCTGCCCCCAACCTTCTCCGCCAGCAATTCGAACGGCGCCGGTCCGCCGCAGCTGCAGCCTCCGAACATGCACCTTCGGCGGCTTTCTTTGTCTGCTACGGGCGACGCCGAGCGCGTCCGGGTCCTGGAGGAACAGCTCCGGAAAGTCACTGAGAAAGCAGCTCGAGCGCGCAAGGCAAAGAGCAAGCGCGAAAAGAAGAGGAAGGCCAAAAAGAAGGATATGGCCAAGGCTGCCAAGTGTCAACTCGAGAGCAGCAAAGACTGAGCCGAGCAGCTGCCGCCTGGACGAAAAGGTGCGCCTGCAGAGCGAATTGAAACTTAGAAACGTTTTCCTGACAGCTTACAGCAGTCTCAGTTTGTGCTTGCATTTGAATTACATTGGACCATCGAGTCTTTGGACGCATGCTTTTGGTTACACTGCTGCACGGGTTCCCATGTAGCAAGCACGCGTGCATGCGCGCACCGCGCCCCCGCACCTACAAGCCTTTGCCAACTTGCGAACATCCATACGCATCTGTAGTGTACTGTCCCTGGAAGAACACTTAGCGGCCAGAAAAACATGTGGTGTGGAGGTCAATCTCATAAGAAGCCAGCTGGATGCCCGACTCCTTAAAAGTCTCTAAGTGAAAGGCGCCTTTTGACTCAAGCTTGGCAGCCCGACGGCGCTGCCCTGTCCACTTGTGAACTAATTCGACTAATTCGGGTCACGTCTACATGGGCATGGCCTGTACATGTGTGCACGCAAAATCTACTGAGCAAACAGACCACGGCTAGATTCTTTCACTCTTGCAGCCCTTTGCAGCGCCATGGCTGAATGGGTAGATATACCCGGTGCGATTCGAGTAGCAGATCCTGCTGGATTGTTGGCTGATTGTGACTGTCCTGAACGGGGCTTCTATTTGTGGTGCAGCTTCCAAGTTCATGGTCGTAAGGTCCTTCGGTGGCGGCCTGCGGTGAAGGCACTGCCATCTGTCATCCTGCTCACCCAGCGATTTGGGGTCACTTGACGTTGGTACCAGCAATTCTCCCTGCGGTTGGTCGTTCAGATGGCCTCTTTCTGGGGCGAGGCGAAAGTGCATTGGTAGCCGGGCTTTCGACGGTCTTTCAACCGCTTCAAGTTAAAGCTTGAGGATGCTTGGTTCAAAATCCGGCTCCTGGAGCGATATTGGCAAGTACAACCGCATGTGCATATGTCTTTGTCAACCGACAAAGAACACCTCATTCGACAAGTCGGAGATGCCTATGACGCGTTCATGATGAAGATCAGGAAGAGTCAAGTCACTCGCTCAGACAAGCCTCTATTGGGATTGGTCATAGACGGTCACGTCAAAGCTGGCGCACGGAGGCGTTGTGGCGTTCCATCGGTTTCTGCTACCTTGTGCCAGCCCTTGCAGGCATGGTCCTTGACCACTTGCCCTCGCACACCAGCCTACAAGCACAAGTTTTGCCCCTGGCATGTTCGCTGTCTGGCAGCTTTTGATGCAGAACCAACAGCTGTTCACTCTGTGTCCCGAGCTGCTTCCTTGGCTCAGAGCGGCGATGATCTCTTGCGTGTGATCCTGTCTCAACGTGGCGCGCGTGCAGAGAAAGAGCTCAGTAAACTCACACGCGCCGAGAACATGCTGGTTCGAGGGTATTTGACTGCTTGTCACCGAGTCAAAACCCTACAGCAGGTGGAGCCTGTGATTCATGACGGAACCACACTGCAAGAGCTTTTGGATTTGCAATGCCAAACTCACAAGCAAGGGGATACGGGTGCGAAAAGTCATCGGGCCGGCGGACTTCTGGTGGCTTGTCGAAGTGATGGCTTGATAGTTCATGTATGTTCATGTGCAAGAATATCACGGTGCAGAATCCCTGTCCCAACGCTATGCTTTCATTGCCCACCTCAAAGCCACGCACTCCAGCCTCCAGGTGTTGGTCCATGATGACGCCTGTCACTTGCGCAGATTTGCCCACAACCGTTTTGCGGCCGCAAGCAGGAAGCACATGTATACGTGACCATAAGCGTAAAGAATGTCTATCTTTACCCCTTTTGGTTGTGCTGCGCAGATTTCACTAAGGTAAGCATTGGAATGCACTGGCCGAATCCCTCGCCTACCCGCAAATGAAATACATCGTGGACAAGTTTCACAGCAGGGGCCATGTCGATGCTTGGTGTGTAGCCAATTGCGGGCCTAACGTGCCTGAAAACAGCGAGGTTGTCACTGAGATAAACACATCCATCTGCGAGATCACGTTTGCGTGGCTGGCTCGATTCA